TATTCATTCTGATGATGGCGTAAGTAACGCCGAAACATGTCAAATACACCACATTTAAAAATCGTAATTGTTATTTTAAAAAATGACTAACATGATAAAACAATGTCTGCCATGTCAACAATAGCAATAACTGCAGTGTAAGTGACAATGTCAATCTTGAAGATTTGGCAGTAATTTTGTTGTATGTTCAACAGAGTGACAGAAGATTCATCCAGTTTTACTTCCCAAAGCTGTTAATTGTTGGTTTGTTATGGGTGTCAGCCTTTATATTGTCTACTTGGCAGCAGTAAGTGTTCATAAACCTATAGTCTAAGTATTTGTTTACACTTTTGCTCATTAGCAAATCATAAAATAAGTATGTCATGTTTGTTGTTGTTGTTTTAATTCAAATTTTAACATTCAAATGAGCTAAATTTCAATTTAATTATGATTATAAAGATCCAGCACTTTGGATTGCTACAGTGAAAAGTTTTGAGCATTTAAGCATTTCATGAAATCTAAAAGTTGCAGCAGTATATTTTGATCAGTTGGTGAATTTTTCATTTCATTATTTCCTTGATCAACTCTGATTTGTGAAGAGACATTTTTCTCTTTCCCTTAAAACATGTTAACAATACAAAATATTGAATTGTTATTTGTCTACCATTAGTTAGAGAACATGTGTGTGAGTCAGGCAATGTAATGATTGTTATTTGTCTACCATTAGTTAGAGAACATGTGTGTTAGTCAGGCAATGTAATAAGAGCACAGATTTGTTTGCAAGTAAAATTCTACAAAACAAATCAGCTGTGTTTATTGTTTGTAGGTATAATGAACTCAGAGATCCCACATACCAGTACAAGATTGATATTGGACACTTTATGGTATGGTTATATGATAAGGATTTTACGAGTCTTCTGTTTATATACTAGTTTTCTCTAGTTATAATAATGTCAATAAAGCTCCTGGGATATAATTTTATACTTTATGATTGCTCGCATACTGGACATTTGTCAATTAATTGCAGTTATAATCACACAGGGGGCAAGTGGCATGTCTAGTTTTTTGTGAAWTTTTTATGATTTTTATGATTCGGATTTCTTAATTGATTTTTTTTATTGTTAAAACCATGAAAGTATTGGTCATGGGCAACCTGTCTGGCAACCTGTGAATGCCCCTAAATATTGCCCTGACAATGTATCCCTTATGATGTTACTATTCTATTATTTCATTCATTTCTTTATTCATTCAAATATCCATTCATCTTTTCTCTCATCTACACATCTAATGCTATATCATCCATTCATTCCATTATCCGTGCATTCAATCATCTTTATTTGCGTTTTTCTAGGGTCTCATTCAATCATCTTTATTTTTTGTTTTTCTAGGGTCTCAAGGTGTTTTTCTTCACTGTGGGTGGTATCTACTTGGTGTACTTGATTTACCTTCTTATCAGAGCCTACAGTGAACTCAAGGCCATGCCATACTTTGGTAATGTCTTGTGTGTAAATTTTAGTTTGGGTTTTTCATACAATGCAAATCATGGTACTTTTTTGCTGTTTTCAGACCTGCGTATCAAGTTCTTGACGGCGTTGATGTTAATAGTCCTGATAATCAGTTTGGTAATCACTGGTCTCAGGTTTGGTACTACTGCATTACAGGAAAACTTTGTTGCAGACTTAGAAACACACTACAAAAACTATATCCTTTTATCTTATCAATAAGACATGAAGTGGACGTGGATAATTTATCCAGCCTACGGTCCCCAGTCTGTTGCATGTGACTGACTACTTTTGTCTGGATTATCAATAAGACATGAAGTGGATGTGGATAATTTATCCAGCCTTCGTACTACGGTCCCCAGTCTGTTGCATGTGACTKCTTTTGTCTGGATTGGTTAATAGCTATGTAACATAGATGCCTTGCTTAATCTAATTAGTGACATTTTGATAGGAAATTATTTTTTTCTTAACATTTTGTACCAGCTGAATTCCTGACATTTTATGGTCTTCTTAATTTTTACTTGTACACCATGGCGTTTGTCTACTCACCGTCAAAAAATGCACTTTATGGTAGGCCTCCCTTGTCATTCAAATACTTATTTTGGAGAAATATGTGTAATTCAATGAAATAACTTCAAAGAAATAGTAATATTATTTTCATTCTTAGAATGCATTCTTAAATTCATGGTATTTAACCATGAAGAATTCATGGAGATCACCCGTTTACAATATTGTAATATTTCCGCGAAATTTGTTTTAAGTCTTGTTCCAGCTGTGTGGTATTGTGTCATTGAGACAWATAGTTTGATATTTAGTTTATAGCACTGTTTGACTTGGTTATGTTTGGTGCAGCTGKAGTACATGTACAGTGGTACTAATTGTGCTTGACACAAACTGACRATATTTTTTGTTTAGATTCATATTTCCGTGAACCATCAACTTTCTCCATGATAAATGAGTCTGATGAAGAAGATCAAATGATTTATAGGTGTGTAAAATAACTATTGTCTTCTTGTAACAACGTCGGTTTATTCCAAATGTTCCATTCACTTAATAATATACAATAGTTTTACGGACCAAACTTAACTCCTAACCCTAACCCCTGGGTTGCGTTTAAGTTATCTCTTCAAGTGACTATGTTCTAGGCAGATACTGCAGTTGAACTCCTTGTCACACACAAAGCATGACTCCTTAAATGAGTCTAGCCAAGGCCCAAGGGATGGTAAATATAGTCATCATGGCTGCCATCRTCTCTATTGATAAATTATTATCACCAGAAACCTATAATATTCAATTAATCTAATTTGCATCTCATTTCCTTATTTGACCTTAATTGGAACAATTAAATWTACCCTATAGCCAACCAGAACGGGCCATCAATCTCTWATCCAATGGCCGAATTTTCCAAATATGGTCATAACGTTCGTTTTCRAATTTTKAATGAGCTTTGAATATTCCAACGCTTGGTACTAAAGAAATGTACGGCTGTTACACATTTCAAGTCCCTTATAGGTTTCTTTTATTTACCAAGTGACAGACAGTTTCCTTATTTTGAATTACTCACTTCATAGTTCMAAGAAAGAATCCAGCCGTTCTCCATACAGTAGTTCTTCAGAAGATTGAAAGGCTTATGTTCTCTGAGATACATGTACAGATCATAGTTGAATGAAAAACTTCTTGCTTCTTCAAAGTTGCACTTTCAACTTATAAAAAGGCTCTCTTCCAATATTGTAATGGATGGTACACAATAGAATTATAATATTAATAATAATTTGAAGTAATTTTTTATAGTTGACATCAATAATTTTCATAGTTATTATTGATAATTAGTAATGGTACATAATCATATAATAGATATTACCATCCTTAGAATATTAACATCAATGACATGCTTATCAGTGATGTCTAAGTTTTAGCATTTAATAAGGTAATTTATAGACAAAGAAATGTCCTGGTTAATTTCTTATTTCTTTAGAAATTCTTATCAAGCATACTGGAAAATAACACCTTTCATATAGCTTATAATTAAGATAAAACATCACAATGTTTATATATTTCATCAACTTATACTCATAGCTTATACTCAAAGCTTTAGTCTAAGAATCTTTTATTAAGATATTATATCATATTAAATTGTACCATAAACGGTAGATGTTTGCTATTAGGACTATAAAATAAATGGCAATCAGTTGGATTTATCGCGTAAATGCTTACACCATAAGCCAGAAGGATCTTTGAGATTAGGATCATGTATTAAATCTTTTATTCACAGAATATAGTTCCACTTATATAATATGTGGTTGGATGCTAGAATAATAATATAGATAAGTCCATACCAAGCAGATTACACCTAATTGAAAATACACAGTCTTAAAAGGTTACACCATCAAAGCTAAGACAGAAAGGGGGCGTGATGATATTACGAGCCATATAAGGGGGCATGATGATATTACGAGCCATATAAGGGGGCATGATGATATTACGAGCCATATAATTAAATGTTTCAGTGTCAAAAGTTGCCTGCACTGAATAGAATGACCTCTGCGAGTAATGCTATAATGTAAAATGTTAGCAAATATTGTTTGAATGTCTGAGTACTAAGATTCTCTTTAGTGTTATAAGCTTCGATGGTATAACAGTTTTGCGACCTGACAAAGTTAATTCAGTTAGGTGTATCATGATAGCTTTGTATAGATTGGATTTCTTGTGACTGTGTAAACAACACTACAGTTTTGTGTCGCGTACCATGCCATGATGTGTTGTTGTATCGATATCCATGTCATACTAAATCCTCTCTATGTACTCAGCCAATGAGAGATAAAATGGCTTAATTCATAAAATATAAATACTCCATATGCTCATCAATTTTATAGTTACTAGAGCCATRCTTTTCCAAGATAAAAAGTTAGTGCATCCCATTTAGCAGCAAGGGGGGTGGGGGTTGTTACTTACTTAGTAGGAGTAGGACAGACCTCTATCTGACAATTTTGGAGGGCGCATGGAAATTTAATGATTTAGTAACAAATTGGGTCAAGAAGTTTTTTCAATACAAAAAATGTTCTTAAAAAGTACATTGTAGTATGAATATGTACCCTTAAGCCAATTTAAGTAGARCTTAGTAATGATGCAGGCAGGACATTTTCAGCCATTGGGGGTTTAACCAACTCCCAGCTTAYATACCCTGGTTGAGTTTGCAATGTAATTAGTATGAATTATGATTATAGTTGAGGGTTTGAAAAATACGTATCTATTGTGGTGTATGACCAACACGTCAGATACTCTTGAAGATGGCACTGGGAACTATGAAAGAGAGTATTATTCCATGTTTAAGACAAAGTAAAATAGAATTAGGAAATTAGTTTGATAATTACACACACTCAGCCTATCAAAATATAATTACAGTACATTAATATGCAACGATAAACACATGGTGACAGATCAATATAAAGTAACAGGGTTTGTTGATATGGCTTTGGTGTTTACTAAAAAGAATACATAATATTTTGGTATAAACTATGTGGAAGATAAATAAATGTAGACAAATTTAAAATTTGTTGATATCCTTAATTGTGCATCCCTTGATACCCTAGTGCATTCCATAGTATCCTGGTGCATCCCTTGATATCCAAGTGTATTCCATGGTATCCTTAGTAGTACATCCCATGGTATCCCAGTGCATCCAATGGTATCCCAGTGCATCCCATGGTATCCCAGTGCATCCCATGGTATCCCAGTGCATCC